CAGGACAATGGAAGCAATCAAAAACAACAAAAGAGCAATGATATACAAGTGCTATAACAAGTCGCAGTTAGATTAATGCAGTACATGTAGCAAGGTTTTTTATTATTATTATATAATACATAAAAAGAAAACGGATAGAATAGAAAAATAGAGCAAGCTAGTGTTAGAGGCCTTTTTTTGCTGTTGTTAATTGTATAATAAATAAAAAGAAAACAAATAGAATACAAAAAGATTAGAAAAGCAAGTGTTATTTTTTTAAAAAGAAAATAAGCAGTTAGTAAATAAATAGAGTGCAAGTCTAAAAGGGGCACGTTTTTTATTTTTATTTTTTTATAAAGAATAGAATTAGAATAGAGAGTGCTAGAGTTAGAGGTTTAAATAGAGATGGAAGAGATGTGTTTTAGCCGATTCTTGAAGAAGGACTCAGCTGCTGGGATTGATTTGGGCAGGTCATTCCACCAGGAATGGAACAGTTAATGTAAAAGTCTGTAAAAGTGATTTTGTGCTTCTTTGGGACGAACAATAAAGCGACGTTCACTTGGCAAACATTAATGCCTTGAATTTAATGCGAGCAGCTACTGGTAGCCAGTGCAAATTGATGAACAGAGGTGTGATGTGCATTCTTTTCGGCTCGTTGAAAATTAATCTTGCTGCCTCATTCTGGATTAACTGTAAAGGTTTGATAGAACTGGCTGGAAGACCTGCGAAGAGAGCATTGCAATAGTCCAGCCTGGACAGAACAAGAGCTTGAACAAGGAGTTGTGAAGCATGTTCCGAAAGAAAGGGCCTGATCTTCCTAATGTTGTATAAAGCAAATCTGCAGGACCGGACAGTTTTAGCAATGTGGTCTGAGAAATTCAGCTGATCATCAATCATAACTCCAAGGTTTCTAGCGGTTTTTGAAGGAGTTATGGTTGATGTGTCTGGTGAAACTGTGATGAAACAATGGGTTTGATGGAACCACAAGGCAAAATAGAGAGTGCTAGAGTTAGAGGGTCAAATAAAGATGTAACAGATGTGTTTTTAGCCGATTCTTGAAGATTGCTAAGGACTCAGCTGCTAGGATTGAGTTGAGCAGGTCATTCCACCAGGAGGGAACAGTTAATGAAAAAGTCTGTGAAAGAGATTTTGCGCATCTTTGAGATGAACAATAATGTGTCGTTCACTTGCAGAACGCAAGCTTCTAGAGGGCACATAACTCTGAAGTAATGAATTTAGGTAAATGGGTGCAGAGCCAGTGGTGGTTTTGTAGGCAAGCATTAATGCCTTGAATTTAATGCGAGCAGCTACTGGTAGTCAGTGCAAATTGATGAACAGAGGTGTGATGTGCATTCTTTTCGGCTCATTAAAAATTAATCTTGCTGCCTCGTTCTGGATTAACTGTAAAGGTTTGATAAAACTGGCTGGAAGACCTGCGAAGAGAGCATTGCAATAGTCCAGCCTGGACAGAACAAGAGCTTGAACAAGGAGTTGTGAAGCATGTTCCGAAAGAAAGGGCCTGATCTTCCTAATGTTGTATAAAGCAAATCTGCAGGACCGGACAGTTTTAGCAATGTGGTCTGAGAAATTCAGCTGATCATCAATCATAACTCCAAGGTTTCTAGCGGTTTTTGAAGGAGTTATGGTTGATGTGTCTGGTGAAACTGTGATGAAACAATGGGTTTGATGGAACCACAAGGCAAGGTTGAGTTGAAGGTGATGGTCCTTCATCCAGCAAGAAATGTCTGTTAGACAAGCTGAGATGCAAGCAGCTATCGTCGGATCATCAGGATGGAATGAGAGGTAGAGCGGAGTGTCATCAGCACAGCAGTGATATGAAAAGCCATGTTTCTGAATGACAGAACCTAGTGATGCCATATAGACAGAGAAGAGAAGTGGTCCAAGAACTGAGCCCTGAGGAACCCCAGTAGTTAGATGTTGCGACTTGGACACCTCACCTCTCCAAAATATCTTTTTGGACTTCTGAGAGATAAGACTCAAACCACTAGAATGTGGTTCCTGAGATGCCCTTTGCCAATAATGGTCTTTAGTAACATTCTCAAAACTTTAGTACAAAAACATTGCTTATGGAACGTTTTTCTAGTTAGTTGGACTTAATAGTTTCAGATGGTTCAGAGAACATTCAAAAATGACATTCCCATCATGTTTGCAAAAATATAAAATGAAACAATCCCTTAATGTTGCCAGTAATGTTCATATAACCAAGAAAAAAAACCTGGACATTTCAAACTTTCAGAGAACATTTAGAACTTATGTTTTCTCGACTTAATGGGAATGTTAACAAAACTTTATCAGAACATGTTTTTAATAGCCTACACCGCTGTTCAGTGAATTTTCATGGGTAAAATCTAGTCAATTTAGTGAAAGTCATCTTTGTCTGAATCAAGAGAGAAATATACACAGATCAAAGACCAGCGAAAACCGTTCAAAACAGGGGGTGGACTTTATTATGAACTCGTATTTTAGCCTGAAGCAACGGTTTGAAGTTTAAAACATCTTAATGATGGATTTGTTTCTTACAAACACAGCTTTTCACTTCACAAGACATTAATTGATGGACTGCAGTCATGTGGATTATAGTGATGTTTTTATCAGCAGTTTGGACTCATTCTGACGGCACCCATTCACTGCAGAGCATCCATTGGTGATCAAGTGATGCAATGCTACATTTCTCTAAATCTGATGAAGAAACAAACTCATTTACATCTTGGATGGCCTGAGGGTGAGCACATTTTCAGCAAATTCAAATTTTTGGGTGAACTATTCCTTTACTAACATTAGAGTATGAATGCTGCAAAAACAAAAGACACACTGCCTTGCATATTCAGTTCTGAGTACATTAATTGTGTTGAATATTTGGTTAATTTGACAACATTCAGATACTAACTGTAAAGTTGAAATGGAAAGTCAAGTGCATTGCATTTTGGGATACAGTATTCAAATTCTGGTAAATATAGTTAGAAGCAAAAATTTGCATACTATGCACTGTGAACTTACTGCAGAAATAATACAAGTAGTGTGCAGTATGAGCAATATTTGACAGAAGTTGATTTACATGAAAACATAACACTATTTTAAAAGGCATAATTCACAATGTCCAGCTTGTGTAAAATTATTCTCAAATCTTTCTTTTATTACAAAAGAAAGCTCTATACATAATTCCAGCATTTCTTTTACAAGTATGTATTAGTGGTTAAAACAGGATTTCGCTTTCATCGTTTGTAATATCAACTTAAATTTTAATCAAATTAAAACTTACCCAGCATGTAATGCAAAAACAAACAATCTAATAAAACAAAACTAATTCTTCAGAAAATGGCACTGTAGAAGATAATGAACATAATAAAGCAAATAATTCATCCACGACTGGTTGCACTGTGCTAAAGGAAAGAAAAGAAAAAGCACGGTCAGATGTCGGTGCTTCACATTAAAACTAATATATACAGTCCACTAAATACATCCAGGGTGCGGAAATATTCTCATTTCAAATGCAGCCATTTGAGCTACTTAAAGTTTTTGAAGTCAGAAATCAGATGTACAATAAGGGCCATTTGCGCTGGTCAAACAGGTCGACATGTTGTGCTCGGTTCCACAAACTGAAAAGCCACGAAACAAAGAGAAGACGACATTCCTGAAACTCTCGGTATTGCCATGGTCCATATAAATCCATTTAACAGTACGAGAAAAAGGCTTTATGGTCCAAACTTGCAGTCTGAAAGAGTGAAATCTGTGGAGAAAAACCAAATGAATCGTATATATACATACACAAGTCGAGATTTACAGCCCTTTGGATGTCCAAATGAAATATTTGACAATCCTTTCACATAATTAAGGTGACAGAAATAAAACATTTTTTTTTTTTACAATATTAATATATGGTTGCACGTATAAACTCTTTCACTACATTTGATTTAATTTAAGCGATTTCAGTGAAAACAACAGTTGTTCTGAACAAAACTTGCCATTCTAGTACCTAGTAGCAGATCCATCACGCATTTTATTATTTCGGTAAACTAAAGCCATGAGAGCACAAACCGTGTCATTTATTCACTTGACATGATCGCGCAGCACTGCTGTTTTCGGTACGTTGTCATGCGGTGCAAATGCAAGTCAGTGTTTTCCTCTTACAGCATCATAAAAAGTGAAAGCATGTGAAGCCTTGAAGCAAAAAATTCGACTTCTGACAGCTAGATTCTCTCCAGCTATCGATACGTACAGTATAGTTTGGCACAGTATTACAACATGGAATGGCATGCAATCTTTTTTCTGACATTTTTGTACTACAGATCATGTTTCAATCCAAATTATAGCAGCACACTGAAATAACTGGATCGTTTTAGAGTATCCTATAACTTCTAATTGAGTAACAAAGACCATAGAGAACGTGATGAGGGGCTTTATATATATATTTTTACATTTGACCTTATTTGTATATTTGTATAGTTGTATTTTGTATTTAATCTGTATTTATGTTATCTGTATGCACCCAAGGGTCTGAGAGTAACGCAATTTCAATTCTCTGTGTGTATGTCCTGTACATGTAAAGCAGACTTGAACTTGAACTTTAAGACTGTTAAATAATGGTGCAAACACCAGTAATTTGACGAGCGCAAACGTTAGTAAATCGTGATTCATTTTAATACTGTCCTCCCATAAATATTGCATCTGAAAGGGAAACTCCTATTGCGCGTCTTCAGTAAATCCGGACAGTACTATTTTAATGGCAAAAGACAGTTTGCGCTGGCGCACGCTGTTAGTGAATCTAGCCCTTAAAATTGTGAAGCAGAAATATTGCAAAATAAATAAATAAACCCATTATTACAAGAAAAGACGTGATTCATGAAGAAATGTTTTTTTTCTATTAACTAGAACATTAATAGGCCAGCTTCAGAAGCTACTTTCACACACAAAACCCATTAAACTTTCAGATACAAAAATGCAATACATTTCCAGTGAAAACTGTGTGAGTGAAAGTACATAGAGAGTATTTTTACTGTCCGCTATATTACCGAATGTAGTGGGACGGCTGAAACTGGGATCTGTACAGTTCCAGGAGGTCCCGTGAGAAACATCTGAGGAACTGCACCTAAACACGACCAAAACAAAACAAAGAGCTTGTAACAATGAAATTACGGTGCGTTTAAAATGTCAGAATTAGCATATTTACAAGTTTCTGAGTTTTCAATGTTGTTCCAAGACTATCCGTGCATCTTATTAAGCCAATTCAACCAAGACATTGACACACCGATATGCCTACACAGCTGTGACTGACTGACTGACCTGAGTCTTGGGCTGGCGTGTGGGACATGTGCATTGCAGTGGGTGGTTGTGGGAAGGTGTTGAGCACAGTCAGACCCCCGTCGGCAAGGGTAGGGGTGGATGTAGCGTACATGACGTGTGCTCCAGGGTACATCATGTGACCTGCCACTGAAGAAGGCACTGAGGAAGTGACTATCGTAGCGGTGTGGCTTGCTGTGGGAGAGACAGAGGAGACGTCTTACTGAAGTCACTGATCAGAGCAGTATCGGTGCGTCACAAGGGTGATGCTGTAAGTACCAGTGGAGCTGGTGGAGGTCCGGCTGATCTCTGGACTGCTGTCACTGCTTTGAGGGTGAACCTGGATGGCCTGTAACTGTTGAGGCATCGTACCACCTGATATACAAACCACAGAAACATCCTCACTACATTTTCTACTGGCCATATTTACATGCATGAATCAACAGCGCACACTAAAAATTTAAATAATTAAAATCCTTTTCGTTAACTGAAATAAATCTGAAATAAAATAAAAACTAGATGAAAAAAAATTCAACTTAAAAAAACCTAAAAAAAAAATTAGACATGTTGCCTTGGCGACCAGCTAAGATAACTATGAATAAGTTGAAGTACTTATATTATCAAAACTGAAAAAAAAAAAAAAAACTAAAAAAATAATAAAAAATGGCAAGCAAATAACTAGAGCTTAAACTAAAATTAAAACGGAACATTTAAAAATAAAAATTAATAAAAATATTAATAAATACTTAAAATATTAGATAAAGACCATAAACTTAAAAAACCTAAACAAAAATGTTAAAGAAATGTTGCTCTAACTAATTTAAATAGTTTAAAATGAGTAAAATTGAAAATACTAAAATTACTAAAAATGACATGGAAAATAAAGCTAAATAGACTTGGGGCACTACCCTAAACGGCTTTGTGCAAATGTTTTTTTGATTGCTTTATGTATTTATATTGCTCATTTAATAAATTATATGTGACCCGTGCTGTTAAAATGAGTCGGAATGTGCACGGGCTAATTTTGAGCTACAGGCAAAACAAGAGAAAAATATTGATTTTAGTCGATTTTGAGGTTTTCGCAAAAATGAGTTCATTAAGCCCTCGTCTATCGATCCCAATGCTCTAAATAATAATTGTAGATGTTTAATTACCTTTATTTGAACGTTTTCTGAGAGGAGTAGGCTACCTTTTCTCTGCTCGTTTCTCACACCGACTGTCATCATAAAGGCGCTTCCGACTGCACGCTATCCCGATAAATATACACATAGTGTAACAGTTAAATGCTACTTAGGGTGTTATTCTACTACCCATCATTAGGGGACATTATGGTACTCTTCTGCTAAGTTTAAATACAGTTAGGTGGTAGAAGAAGAGAGAGCTGTTTGGTAAGAGGAAAGCATGGCTTCCATCTTGTAGCCTTACCTTCACTGAGATGTCCTGATTGGGAAACATGTTGTTTTATGCTCAATCAAAGTAAGGTCCTTTTTTTGAGGTTTATTCTAATGTTTGTTAATATGTTGTTTGTAGAAGGACTCCTTTGACCTATCCTCTTTAGCTGTATCAATGGTGCATTTACTACTGCATGGTACATCTTGAAAATATAAAGGACTCATTTCCCTGCATTGCATCTCCTTACTTTGGGTCATCGAAACTGGATATTAATCACAAGGATAAGAACCATTTACATCTGCCTTTTCTACAAGGTTTCTTCTTTCGTTTTTGGACTGGGACATATAAGTATAACCATCTTCATTACATGAACATTTCGTGCTCATATTATAACTGTTCATTTTGTATATAGACATAGTTTTGTATTGGTTTTCTTGGGTCTTTTTGTACAATTGGTTTATGGTATGTTATTTTGCTTTGGGGTTTATTATTGTGAATTTCATTTTTGTTGTTTTTCTTTTTCATAATATATCTCTGGGGATATCTTGGGGAAAAACAGCTGATGTGCAACATTATATTAGATCCATGCATTACAGCAGGTCTTAATATAGGCCGCCTCATTAATGTTAATCTAACAATAAAAGAATCACTCGCAGCTCTTGATTGAACTGCTTCTGTAGTTTTAATAACCAATTTACACATAACCTTTAACACACTAAAGGGATTTTTACATTTCATTATTTTGTTTTTCTTGAATGCTTTTTGTTTAGATGTAAAATGCAAAATGTAATGCATTATTTGTTATTTTTTTCTTATATTTGTTCTACTGTTTTTTGTTTTTGCATCTGTTCTTATTTATAATAACAAAGATAAAATAAAAAATAGCTATTTGTGACAATGAATACAGTAAATATTATTAAGAAAAGAAGCGGAGGAAAAGATGCAGCGTTGCTCTGTGATTTTGCTTTGGAACATTTCAGAAAACATTAACTTGATTTTTATCAAAATCGACTTTGCTGACTCTATCGACTTCAAACCGGTGTAGCTCAGTAATTTTTCATTCGATTCCAACAAATCATACATCATTCTGAAGGTCTTTTAATGGAGAATGTGAAATCCCCCCAAAAATTGCTCATTGTGACTCATTTTGCCAGCACAGGTCACATAATACAGTGCCAACCACTAATATTGGCACCCTTGGTAAATATGAGCAAAGGTGGCTGTGAAAATAAATCTGCATAGTTACAAATTTTTTTAGCACACCAGGGTAACTAGAAGCATGAAATTATCCAGCCATTAATTCCTGTTCCACATGATTATAAATTGAAGGACACAAAGGCCAAATTCCCTTAATCATCCATCACAAATTGTAAAACCAAAGAATATAGCCTAGTTCTGATATGCAGAACAAGATCGTTGAGCTTCACAAAATAGAAAGTGGCTGTAAGAAAATAGCTAAAGCATTGAAAACCCCCTTTTCCACCATCAGGGCAATAATTAAGAAATTCCAATTAACTAAAGATATTACAGATCTGCCTGGAAGATGACGTGTGTCTGTATCGTCCTAATGCACGGCGAGGAGGAGAGTTTGAGTGGCCAAAGACTCTCCAAGGATCACAGCTGGAGAACTGCAGCGATTAGTTGAGTCTTGGGGTCAGAAACAGCCCCTACATCACCACTTGTTGTTCGGGAGGGTTTCAAGAAAATTCCTCTTCACTCATCCAAAAACAAACTCCAGCATATTCAGTTGTCAGACACGACTGAACGGGACTGGCTTCTATGGTCAGATGAAACCAAAAAAATAGCTTTTTGGCAGCAAACCCACCAGATGGGTTTAGTACAAACAGGGATAAAAAGTACCCCGTGCCCACTGTTACATATACTGCTGGATCTTTAATGTTGTGGGTAGGGCTGTCGCGATTTGTCAATTTTATTAGACTATTTGATTTTTTAAAATTCTTGACTTAATTTTGCTCATGTCGACTAGCCGGCAAAATACCAGAAGTGGCGCATTTCACGGACGAGAATCCATAAAACACATTATTAGACTGTTTTCCAAGGCTGCATGATATATTAAACCTATTTAAAAATCATAATTAAGCATAACTGTGAATTCACAAACGCTATGATTTAATTAAATAATTATATGCGATGCAGTTCTAATACAGTATATGCGCTTTATTTACATGCGTGTAGGTTAAGTACATGTGTCACACAGCGGCTCCGTTCACAGTAGTTCCACAGGAACTGTTATCATTTACACGTGTGGAGCGTCTCAAACTCCATCTCTGCATGTTGTTGTGAGTTTGGGTTTATTATAACGTTCATCTGGGAACGCAACATGCGCCATTTCATCAGATTTGTAAGGTAAATCCTTTATAAATCTACACAAACACATTGCCGTTTCAAAATAAAAGCTCAAACCCTCACTCTGAGTTTACAGTTTTGATGTCCACATATTCTTTTAATTACAGTGGCTATAGCATTTCTGTCCTAAAGAAATGGCCAAATATTAAAGATTAAGTGGACATTTGAATGAAATGGTGCTTGGTCAATTTTAAACAAGTTTTAGATCGCACAGTAATGTGTAAAAACAATCATCAGGCAGATGGCGCCCTCTGCAGGCCTTTGTTGTAATGCATAATGTGCATTAGCTCTATTGTTTATAATACATTATGTATTTTAACAATTTTGTTCAATAAAACCATATGATTTCTTGCTTTTGATACTTTATTTGAACTAATTATTATTGCCTCATTGCTATTATATATGTATTTTAAGTCATTTTAAAGGCTGTTGTTCACTTAGATCTATTTTTATTACCACAAAAAAATTATTATAATTATAGGGCACTATGAAATCCATTTTATTTCCAAATTCAGTTTTTTTCATTTTTCTATACTCCGTTTTAATGGTTAAATTTAATTTTATTAATCAAAAAGCCTGTCTAATTAATTGAGTTTTACAGTTTTATCTTTACCAAATTCAGTTTTCCATTATTTTCTGGATTCCATTTTAATGGTTCCGTTCAATTTTAATAATCTCCAGTTAATTGATTTTATTTATTTTTTTTAAAGTTTTTTTTTCCCCAGAAATACTGCACACTAAATACATTCTGGTAAATAATATTTTTGGTAAATACTCCTTTAAAAAGTGTTTTTTGATTATAATTGTATTATTAGTAGACTACGTGGATATGTTGTCATTCTTACACTATAATACTGAACTTTGATTTCAGTGATTTGGACTATGAGATGGACACTTGCTTCTTGCACTTTGCGTTGCACTTTACTTTTTTACTTTTGGATTTCATTTGGTTTAATGAAATATAGTTTAATAAAATATTCTGAAGTAAAATAGATTTTTTTTTGTGTGGGAAATTAATTGTTTAGATTAATCGATAAATTAGTCGATAGATTAATCAAAATAAAAATAGTCATTAGTGGCAGCCTTAGTTGTGGGCCTGTTTTTCTGCTGGAGGTCCTGGACATCTTGTTCAGATGCATGGCATCATGGATCCTATCAAATACCAACAGACAACAAATCTAAACCTGACTGCCTCTGTTAGAAATCTTATAATAGGCCGTGGTTGGATCTTCCATCAGGACCATGATCCAAAACAAACATCAAAATCACCACAAAAATGTGTCACGGAGCACAAAATTAAGCTTCTGCCATGACCGTCCCAGTTCCCGGACCTGAACCCTGTAGAAAATGAGTGAAGTGAACTGAAGAGGAGAAGCTGTGAATCTGAAGGAGCTGGAGAGATTCTGTCCGAAGGAATGGTCTCTGATCTCTCATCAGGTGATCTCCAAACTCATCAGGCATTATAGCAGAAAACTCAGAGCTGTTATCTTGGGAAAAGGACGCTGCAATAATTGTATGCCAATAATTGTGGCTAATGTGAACTAGAGAAAAACATTTATTTCATTTAAGATTTCCCCCCCACATTCCATTGTTTTACTTCAATGATATGTTAGAATTTTGTGAATTTTTTGAATGAAAGATCAAAAGGATAAACGATGCAGATTTATTTTCACAGCCGCCTTTGTTCATATTTACCAAGGGTGCCAATATTAGTGGTTGGCACTGTATATGAACCATTATTGGTGATATAATGATAGAGTAAAATTAACAAAGTTAAAATACTTGTTACATTGAGCTTAATATTAATAATAATAGTATTATCAAATAATTGCTTTTGTTTGAGTTAGAATAACACAAAATGTCTTGAAATGCCATCCCTATGAGAAACACATTTAGACAGCAGTAGCATGCAGATCCTCAAACGCATGTTTCCAGCCTCCACCATTAGTTGAGTTTCCCTCATGACGGCTAAACACTGACCTGTGAGCGAGACAGTGGCCGGCAGGCGGAAGAGCGTGGTGGCTTGTGTGTGTGCAGGGACAGCGGCGGCGGCGTGGCTGTTTTGCGTCTGTGGACACTGTATGGCCAGAGAGTGTGTCTGCAGCTGACCGAGAGGAATAGTGTGTGTGCCAGGAGGAAGAGTAGTGCCTGCGGGACACACAGCGACACCCTCAGCAAGCCAAGCAGAGCAGCATGTGCACCAAACAAGGCCTAGTCACTGCAAGTGTGGATTTTTGACGAGACAAGATTTTAAACACAAATCGTAAAATATCCGAGTATCCATCATAAGTGTTTGATATGTGGGTCAATGAAAAATAAGAATGTTTAAAATATATAGTTTAAAACAAATGCCAAATTATTAGAATTGTAATAATTGCATTCATGTTGGTTTAATGTGTTTCGAAAAACTTTTAAACTATTTTAAATAAATATGTAAAAAATGTCAAGTGGTGTAACCATCAATCGAAAGTAATTAACAGATGAGAGTGTACACATACTATTAATTGAAAAAAAAGATGTAAACTTTTTGCAATAAAATTTTATTTTCACATTTTTGTTTTTAAAATACCTTGAGATACTAATTCTTAAATATTATTAGATTTTAGGGAGTTGCACCACATGACATTTTACAACCTAAACTAACCTTGCTTTGTCATAAAAAGGTTCATATCTGATATTTTAGAGCTAGATCTGATATTTTAAGACAATATTGTTATTTTAGTCTCACTGCAGTAGTATTATAGGTAGTTTCTATTAAGATTTTATATCAGGTTTGAAAAAAATAAGTAAATAAAAATAAAAAAACAATAAAGATATTTGTATTTATTATTATTTTCATTTATATATTATTGTTTATTAGACCCTTACACAGACGGATCAGTTGGAAGCAGAATTCAAAGTGTGCAGACATGCAAGCAAGCAAAAAATGTATGTGTATTAAAACACAAAGATGTCATGCAAGCTGATGCAATGCATCATGCAAAACCCCTCTGGAAAGTCAAATAAGACTGAATCTGTGAAAGTGAGAAAAATAACATGCAACAAAGGAGTGAATAAATGAACAGAAGCCCCACCTGGCATGAGCGTGAATCCGCTGGGCAGCTGCATGACTCCCGCCGGAGAGCTTTTGAGCACCGTGCCGTTCGCACTAGAGATGCTCTGAGCGTTCATCCCTGCAGCCAATGGCCAACAGGTGGTGCTGGAGAGCGACAGGGCGCTGCTCTGAGTGTGCATGGAGACGGAGGAGGAGGAGGGAGAGGAAGAGGCCGACGACTGTGTGGTGGTGCTGTTGGTGCCACCGGGTAAAGTGGCAGCAGTGAACATCGGCTTGATCATTTCCTGCAACAACACAGACAGAAATAAAACTTTACAATGAGGTTCTATTTGTTAACTTTACTTAATTTATTAGTTAAACTACTTAAAATGTATTAATCTTGATGTTAACTTTAAGATTTACTAACACATTATTAAAATCAAAAGTTGTATCTGTATGAACCTGAGCTAGCGTGAATTAACAATGAACAGTTGTATTTTTATTAACTTTTAATAATTAATGATAATTACTTTTTATTAACTTTAAAGATTAATAAAAACAGCAACAAGTGTAGTGCTCATTGTTAGTTAATATTAGCCAATGCATTTACTTACATTAACTTATGGGACCATACTGTAAACTGTTGCAAAAAGATTTTTAGGAGCACAAATTAAGGGGAACAATCAATATTCTTTTTTTTGTCACATCGCAGTATAGATATGAAACTGCCATTTGTCAAAAAAATAAATAAATACTATATGATTATATATTATTAAATATACATAAATATATTATTATTTGCTTATTTATCATTTTATTTTAATTATTTATTCATTTTATTGTTTTGTTTATTTACTTATTAATTTTGTATAATTTTTTATTTATTATTAACAAATACACAATAAAAAAATAAACATTATTAAAAATCATATCTAAAGCTTAACAGATATAGAAATAGAATATTCTATAATATAAAAAAAAGGCTCAATGAGTTTTGTTCCAACTCACTGTAGAGCTCTATTTATATATTATATTATGTAATAATATACTTAATTATATTATGAAATACTTCACTAATGAAAGGTACTTCGTCTCATTTTATTATTTGGAATGTTTTTTTGTTTTTGTTTTTAAACCTGATGGACACAAACCAAAAGATTATCAATAACGAATGAAGATCACTTTCATAATATGAAGCAAAACTGCTAATACTTTCTTCAAAATATCTTATTTAGTGTCCACAGCAGAAAGAAATCTTTGGAAAAGTTTGTAATGCGGGAATGACAGATTTTATTTTTGGATCAACTGTCCCTTTAAGATGACATTTTCACAGGAATGTTCAAGACAAAACAAAAAAAGCATTTATCATCACATTTATTCCAGAGTTTTCCTGTGGCGGAGCAGGACTGATTGATTGCAGCAGAGCCTGTGGAAACAACTGTGTGAGATAAAGGCGATTGTGTCATGACAATCCCAAGAACGGCAGCTGCCTTCACAGGAAAACAGGTGTCCACACAGCGAGAGAGCGCCGCTATTTCAGGCAGCTCTCGACGAAACCTACGACACAGGGACGACCGATCTGACGGCCTGTGCGGAGCAACACAGAGGGATCTCTGTTCTCCTTTAAAAGAAGGCTACGGGGTAGAAATACGACACCACTCATAACTGATCACTGTTTAGCAGAACTGAGCTTGCTTGAGAGATCAGAGCCAATCTGATCTGGAAATAAACAACTATCAACTGTAAATTTGCATTGCACTATTAATTACAGTAACGGTCAAAAGTTTAGAATCTGTAAGATTTTCTTAATGTTTTTGAAATGAAAAATGTTTGTGAGTGGTCACTGGTGTGACCACCACGTTGCCCAACTCATACGCACTGCAAATAAGAAACATCAAACGGAAAATGAAACTAATGCATAATGAAACCACGCTACTCATTTGTGCTGCGCAGCGCGGAGGGAAATTCAAGCATTTTTAGTGACTTTCAAGTATTTCACATTATTTCCACCACTTTAAAGCTCTAAAAATTATCCAATTTAAGCGTTACTTTTAATGGGATGACCAAAATATAATTTGGGGTAAACAAACACTTATGTAAAATAAAAATAAAAAATGCGTCAAATTACCACTATTACTAGTAAATAGCAGCAGATGAGCACTTACTGGGTTATTAGTCGTTCATTTCTACTTTTTGTTTTATATTTTGAAATTATAATATCCCTATTATAAAATATCAAATCATCAAGAAATCCAATTGTCAATATTCTGCACTTTTTTTGTGAAGGTGGTTCAACAAAATACTGACACAAGGGCTGATCCTTTTTACAACTCAGTGATTGTTTTATTTTTCTGACATGTTGGGGTTATATCTGTAGGATATCAGACAATCTAAGATTTGGTCAAAACCGAGTTGAGGCACGAGGAGTCACAAAAATTCCACAGAGGCCCAAGACAACAGGATGTCATAAATCAGACCCTAGCCTCTCTGAAGCAAGCCTAAACCTAAACCCCTGTCACAGAACAGTTTTCAACATTAACACAAAAGAACACATTGACAAGTCCAAGGAGATTGTCAATTTTGGGGCAAGTTATCAAGAATAATGGTCAAAAGAGATGACCGCATGACTATCACACGATAGTAACTACAGTCACAAGCTCCTCGTAAATTGACTTCCCCCACTTCACGACAAGAACAGACAGACTAAAATTCCTTACAGACATTTTAATCTCTGGTCTCCTTACGTCCACAGAATGCCAAAGAAACTTCATTTCCATGTGAAGATGCATCTAAATGACACTAAAAGGACTCGAGCAACTAACCATTACTATATATCTAACCCCATATCATGTATCTAACCCACATGTTTAACCATCATGCCTTATTTATTGTGAATGTATTTTGAATAACTATTGAATAGCTTAAGGGGTCATATTCATGCTTGGTATGTGTGAGTTTGAATTTTCATGCTTGAAACGTTTCTCCCAGTCAATTCTTGGTCAAATGTATCATATCCTCGTGATAGAAATCATGTCCAAAATCATACTCTACCAGAGCGGGAAAAACGCAGGTCATGTGAATGATGAGATAACAGTTGATTTATGAATGGGAAGGAGAAACATTGCAACACCCCGAGCTACAATTGGTCAAAACACCATTTGGGGGTGTATTAAACAGCCTGGTTTAAATACTAGAAACACCATCAAATCATTCTCTTCTCTCTTGGTTCTCTTCTCTCTTGGTTCTCTTCGTTCTCTTGGTTCTCTTCTTCAACCCCCTTCTTTGCTCTTACTCTCCTCTTTTTAGGCATAGCTTTGAGCTATGTTTTTAGTCATGCTTCTTTAGTTTTGAGCGTGGTCTGGCTTACACGCCAGCTCCTCCAAAACCATGAGGAGAAACGCCACCTGGTCTCATCAAACTTTACATCTATTTCTATTTCTTTAGTTTGTTTTATTTTCCGTTGAGAGTTTCGTGTTCTGAGTTAAGCCTAACGCCGCATGAGTGCTGTCTACCCTTCAACTGCAGCCTACAGCTCCGCGTCGCCAGCCAATGCCCAACCACTGGCTTCCCAAGACTGGACTTCCAGCCAATCAGCAACCTCGGGAAACCCCTTTCAGCAGACAAGGAAGGGAACCCCGCAACACAGAAACGCGAGTACCTCCAGAGAGCTGAACTGGTGCATTTAATGGTGCATTGAGGCACTCAGTGCGAGGGTTAATTAAGTGATTGATGGTTGTTCAGATCTATACAATGGCACATATTGCTGTAAACTTGGGATTTCACATTTTCATTCTCTTAAACTAATTATTTTCCTCACTTTCTCTCTTTCTGCAACTTGTGTGTGAATGCGTGTGTTAGATTAGTTTATATGTCTTAGATTTATCCAATAAAGCCTTATTTATATGGAAAAGAGAAGTATCTTGTGTTTTGTGCTCACAAGTTAATGTCTTAAACTGCCGATCTTGTTACTATGCTAATTAATAGTGTTTTCACTATATTTTGGATATAGATATCCATTGCAGAATTGATGTCATACGGCTCGTTCACTGACTCGCTGGCCGTCTCAGTGATCAGCCGTAAAACAGTGATTCTGTCCTAATTCCCTTGCATATTAATGGTGGAGTTCCCTTTAAAATCTTAAATGATTCCCTTTGAGCTAAATTATTGACCTGTTTCCCTTACATATCTTTCACTTAGAGGTTATAAGCTGCACTGAGTCAATTCAGCTGGATAAAAGAAAAACTGTCCGTCTTCATTTCAGGTTGCAAAGCAACAAAATGTGATTATTTTAAAGGGGGTGATTCTTTTCAATACCCACTGTATATATAACTGACCCTACACTTTTAAACTGTAGTCTAACAAGACTTTAGGAAAAGACAGGGTTTAGGAAATAAACACGTATTAAAAACAAGTTGTTACACAACAATCTAAAAAAAAATTTTTAATTAGGGATGCACCAATACCACTTTTTCCAGTACTCGCCCGATACCGATACTTTTATTTTTGGTACTTGCCGATACGGAGTACCGATACTTTTTTTGCATTTGTACATTTTTTAAATATTGGGTACAGAAACCAAAAGGGTATGTATAATGTTGGTTGGTTAACTTCATTTATCAAATAGATACAGTCAAACCAAAATGTATTTAGACACCTTCAACATTTCTCACATGATCACAGTTTATTCGCTATAGTTTAGAAAATAGTAATAAAATATGACAAGAACTCTAAACTGTGTCAGAACAAATTCAGCTTGATAATGTTAGATAATTTTGATAGAAAGGTATGTAATAGATTACAATCAACCAAAAATTATTCAGACAGCTGTTAGTATGACAGTATTTACACAACTATCAATACTTTGTCGGGTGACCTTTAGCCTTAATGACAGCCTGTAGTCTCCTGGGCATGCTGTCACCCAGCTTCATGCAAACCTGAACTTCAATGTTTTTCCCAGACTCGGTCTGAATAAGTTTTGGACCCAAATGTGTAACAATTTTACTGGTAGTCCACTGTATGAAGAATTTTTGGGTATGATTTGTCACAGTTTACTTTATTTAGCTATCCTCACTTACATAAATGAACTATAGTGTCCTGCACCCACTAGTAAAAAAAATAACAAAAATTATATCTGGTCTCTGAATCATGTTTGGTTTCACTATATATCTGTCAGTTATTTTCACACTCAATTATGCCCATTAAAATGTATTTTACAAGTTTTTGTTACTTTCACTGTTCATTTTTTGCTCTATGGTACATCTTTAATTAATAGCATTAGAGCTGCTCCATTGCAGCGGCTTAGTAC